ATTGTTTAAAAGACCTTCTTCCTTGTCAAATATGATATTTAACTCGCTTTTATTCATTCGTTAAAAATGGTCAGATATAAAAAAAGAGTGACCATTCTTAACAAGGATTACCGAACATGATGGCTATAAATTTATGTGGGTATCACATATATTAGGACTCATCATGTCTTAGTATGCATGATATGATATTTTTCTTGTCAATAAAATAACGTTTATCACTGATTTCATTCGACCTGATAGTACCTATACAGAGAACGTCTAATACTAAAGCTATCGAAGTTTATTGCACATTAATATACATCATTATACTAGTATGCATCATGTCACTACAACAAAATCGGGTTTATAGGACACTCTCAATTTCTAAGTGTCTTAATAAACATTTTTATAAGATTTGGTTTATGGAACCAAAAAAATAAAGCGTCCTATCTAAAGGTGTTGTAATAAGTTTATATGACGTTTTTTTGATGTCGTAATAAGTTTTTTAGGACACTTTTAATATAAAGCGTCTCATTAACAACTTTATGTGACAATATTTGAAAAATTGTCCTATAAAAACAAATGTCCTATAAAAAATTGAGTTTATAAGACACTTTCTCAAAAGTGTCTTATAAAGTTGCTAATGCGACACTTTATATTAAACTTATTACAACACCTTTAGATATGACACTTTATATTTTGGTCATATAAATTAAGTCATATAAAACGGTCAATTGGGACGCTTAAAGATTGGGGTGTCCTATAAACTCAATTTTGTTGTAGTATGTATAACTAAAGGTATTAAACATATCAAAATAGTTATTGTGTCATTAAAAAATATAACAAAATTACTGAACATGATGGCCATAAAAATTCATGTTATTATCACATATATTTAGGGTTCACCATGTTTTAGTATGCATGCATGATAGATATGTTAATTTCTTGAACATTTATTATTGATTTCATCCAATACCTATTCAGAGAACATTTAAGACAAAAGTCACTGCATTTGTCCATTTAGATATTAATATGCATGGTTGTACTTGTATGCATCATGTGTGATTAAGATCTGTAATTAATGTATCAAAGTAACTTTTGTGTAATGAAAACCATGATAAACAGAAGATAATTTAATTAATATGCTTGTGTAAATTAATCTTTAATTAAATGAACGTGATATGTTATTCAGTTTAAGGGGTTGTTTGTCAGTTGTTGAATGGTGTTGTGCAGAATAATTAAGAAACTTTCATGATATAATGTAAAATAAAATATAATTGTTTGGTAGTTGTTTACAATAAAACCAGGAAATGAATATAGATTTAACAAGTTAGTATGGGTGACGAAATATGTATTTGTAGAGGAAACTACAAAGCAGGGCATTGAATGTGGGGCTTGGAGTGTTCATGTTGAGTTCCTTTTTTGCATTGATTCAGAAAATGATAGGTAGAACGTGTCTTGCATGCAATACCCTTTGCAAATGGAGGGATGCCCTCACGCCACGTCCTTTCACGTGCCTATTAATAAAGCAACAAAAGTTTATACCTTTTTTAAAGCTCGCTTACGTTGACTCATAATCTTTATTAGAGCACCCATCGTAGGGCTTGCAAATTGAATTGCAAAATCATTTTTGTCAGACAATTGCTGCCATGTAGGATTCAAATTGCAAATTTTGCAATTCAACTTGAAAGCCACATGGCATCACTTCCTCTCCAAAACTATTTAAATAAATTATTTTTAATAATGTTAATATATTTTTAATGTTAATAATTTTAATAATGTTAATATATTTTTAATAATTTTAATATTTTTAATAATTTTAATAATGTTAATATATTAATATATT